AACATATCATATGGAGGGATCTACTTCATGGGAGGAACCCGAGGGATCATTTGTCTCGAGGTGCCCCCTTCCCCCCCTTTGCGGGTTTCCCATTTTCCCCATCTTTGGCACGCGGTATTTACGAAAAAAGAAACTTTAGGTTCACAGTTTTGTTAATGTTGTGTGTCTTGTAGTTGGCAGTACAAGTCTGTGGACCATGACATTGGATTTGGTGTCTTCTATTCAGAAAAAGGCAGTAAACATTCCAAAGATTTGGAAGAAAAGGTGAGAATTTACTGTGAATCTTTTTTTTGGCTCATTTAACTCAACCAAGCCGTCGCAAGGAGCCACAAAACGAAATTTTGTAGAGGATAAATGCAGATTCTAGTTGATTGTATTGAACGATGCATTAAGGTGTTAGTTTTTTAAAATATACCTACTGTTACATGGATGATTGGAGCACCCAGCAGATGCTCGAGGACGATGTCCCATGATGGATATAAGGAAAGGCCATCAGAAAAATTAAATCCTTTAATACACAAAGAATCAAAGAGTTTGGCACACGATACGTCTCTCGGATAAGGATGTTAAACCGTAGGCCCTGTCTCCTGCATCGTTAAAAGAACCATGCACTTTTTGCAACGAGTGGGGAACGTAGCACCCGGTGTTGTGGTAATGTTTATACATCTCACAGATCCATAAGTATTTTCTACATACTGGGGGGGGGGAGGGGGCAATAAACGAAGGAAAACAAAGTTTCCTGATGAAGAGAGGGAGGAGTGTAAAAATTGCTTTTGTGGTACCTCGCTACTGTATTACTAGTACTCTACCCAATGAATATGCCGTATCCTCCCAACAAATTATGTTAGCTGCCTTATAGGAGGAATAGAAGATTAAAAAAAATTTTATTTCTTCAGATTCCAACAGAGAGACGGAACTGTCACTTGGTTCAAGAGGAAGGTTCTCTTCTCTGTGAGAAACCAGGCATTTGTAAGTGCTTTAGGCAATGAGACCAAAAACTTTATCAAGTACGAGCAGTTTTCCTACTTTTTCGGCGCGCTAAATCAAATTTTTTCCGCTGAATTTTTTTCTGACTCGCCCAACGTACTTCGCTGAAAAGGAAGGACTACTTGTAGTCTAAACATTTCAGGCATTCCTTTTTGTATCACTTCGAGTACTTATTGGTTGGAGTGCATTCCTTCTATGTGTCGTTAAACCAAAGCAATCACAATAGTGAATCAGAACAATCGGAATATATCTCAACGAGTCGTTGAGAACTCAAAATATAAACAAAGGAACTTCCTAAAGTGCGGCAAACTGTGAGAGACCGAGTTGCAATTTGTTTAATTTTGCTTTGATTCATTTAGAGTGTGGCGCACAGTAAAGAAAAACCTAAGGAAACCCATTGGTAAAAACTCCCCCCACCCTCCCAACCATTAAGATGCAAAACTAGTATCAAGAGATTATCAAGGTTACAATATCTAGCCAGCGCCAATCACGACTTGGTCGTCCGCGTTTTCCCGCGCTTTACGCGGTTTGCTTTTTTTTCTCCACGAGTTTTCGTTGTATTGGTTCCTCAGGGTATTTTATCCAAATTACTTTCATTTTGGTCTAATGACACTTAATCAAAAAGTGCATAAAAGCTAAACCAACGCAATCCTACTTTTCTAAAATGTGTTATAGACACTAAAGCCTTTCTCTTCTTTAGAAGAATTTGATGACAAAGAAAATTCAAACTTTCTCAAGTGACATGGTCGCCCATATCTGTTTTATTTTTTAGTGCAGAACCATTCCTGTTACTTCTTCAACCAAGGTTAATCATTTGAATTCTCTTTCAGATATTCTTCGTTTTGATAATTCATACAGTTGGACACGAAACAAAAAGATTTTCTACAATGTGACAATTGTCTATCCGTTGAAAGATTCAAACGGACATGTGGATGTATCTTGATTAACTCAGAATTCCAAGATTTATCATAAAACATTGTAAATCAGCAGTTTGTGGAAACATTTTACGGACTGAGGTTCAACGGGCCGTGAAGAGTTGCTCAGTTTATCGCTTTTACTCAAAGCTGTGAGACTCAGCAGATAAATACCACAGCTATTTATATACTTTTAAATTTTCCTTGGTTTATGGTATAGAAAATGTTGTCGTTCATCGTAATTTTGTAGATAAATGAACGCTTAATCGTTCGTCTCGTAATGTAGAGTAAAACGTTGATATATTTCCTAGGTTTATCTATGCATGTAAATATTTATTTATTGAATTATTTATTTGTTTCTCTACTTATCTATTTATTTAAATACCCTACCACTCGCTCCATACTGGATCAAAACTACGAAAGAAAATTAATGCTGACATGATTACCATTTACGAAATTTTAAACGATCGGAAAAGTTCAACAAGAATTCGTGCATGTGATCAATTTTGAAATTTTGGCAAAGAGGCAACGTCCAATTTCCCGTATTTGCGAACAAAGCCGGCCAAGTTGTGATTCTGAGAGCATTAAAAAATTTCGAGTAGCTAATATACCTTGTACCATTGGTGCGTGATATTTTCGTTTATTTAATTCTAGAAAAGGATAACAAATTTACAAATGTGTAGTATCGAGCAACTGTATCAGTTGTTTATATTTATTTATCTATTTATTTAAGAAATTTTTACCTTCTTTGAATCATAGATTGTAGTGTAACTTTTAGAAAGTTAACTTTTAATAAAAGTAGCTTTAAAAGTGAATTTGATGAGGCGGGCAAGTAGTTGTTCTCTTGTTTTTGGACTATTTTAGAAATCGGAAGGGTTGTGTCTAAAACGGGACGGTAGAGCAAGAAATTTGACTGTTGTCCCAAACGAAACGATAGAGTCCGAAATTGGACGGTATTGTTCGAAATGGGACGACAGAGTCCGAATATTGAACAAAGGTGTCGAAAATCAGATGGATGTGTCCGAATTCGGACCTGTTTGTCTTATTTTGGACACTACCATCTTTGTACACTTCTGTCCGATGCCAGGCACAGTCGTTAAATTTTGGACTCATCCGTCCGATATCCTAAACTTTTGCGACCTCACAATCCAATTGTTTCGCCTCAAAATCCGTACATAATCCAAATTTTTTTGACAACTTGGAAACAGAAACAAGGCATCAGTTGATCAGGTTGGAAATCCCCAAGTGTCAGAGAAAAACCCGTAAGGTGACGAGCACACTGATCACGGCTTCTCTGAATAGTCACAGTTCACGTGGATTATTTCATATGTCGCGTATTTTCGCACATTTTATTGATTTATTTTGCCCTTTTAGCAAAAAATCATGTTACTTCATCCTTTGCTTCTATTTTGAATTCCCTGCTGAACACGGCCACTACCCGTTTATAAGTCTAACCTAGACACTGTTAAGCATTTGATCCCGAAAAGTGACAAAAGTGACCAGCATCTAACTTCTCCTTACAATAACATCTCAGAGTGAAAACAATAAGGGAAATGGTCACCAACTAAAGAGCTCTTAATTGATAAATTCTACTTGTCAGTACTTCAAGACGCACAGAGAACAGTATGGAGAATATGCATACAGATGTTAACTCACGCGAAAACGAGGTAACCCACTGCAGAGGTAGAGAACTGGGCCTGGACGCTCTTCAATTTTGAACTGTCGCTATCTTTTTGTGTATAGCTTAATGTCAAGTTTCTTTTTGTTCAGACTTTGTTTTATACCTGAGGAACTTAAAGCGGCTAAAAAGTATAAATTGTACAGTGAAAGTTAACAAGCATCAGCCTGATGGTCACTGGCAAGATGTGGCCTTGATACAGTTTGCACACTTTAGCGAGTTGTTTGCAAAACATTTTTCTTGGTTTAGTGGAGAGGATTTGTTGATCGCGGTTACTGGCAAAGAAAGAAGTTCTGGAGAAGATGGTTCGCTTGATTTTCATACTTCACTTTATTTCTTAAACGGTGAAGAGAACGAACAAAGTAGATAGAAGATCTATCATGGCTCCAACGACCCGTGTAAGTAAACCTTGTCGACAGTGTTTTCGTTGCAATTGTACCAGTAACTTAATTTTGAGCGGTAGAAATGTGTAAGACTTAGCTTACATTTAAACAAACCTGGTTTGCTGGTAAGAGAAGTTAATCCCGTCGAATAATAGCCGTTCCTTTGTCGGCCTACACATAAATTGTCTTTATTGCCGAGCGTGAGTTTACTTAAGTCCCGTTTTAGACAAAGTATCGAGCAATACCTGAGCTTGATGTGCTATCATACGGGCACAGCTCAATAGACGAGTATATTTATGTAACGTATTGTTAGTTTAAAACGCATTTTCCGTCAGAGTAGACCGATCAAATCCGCTAGATAAAGCCAAAGAAGAAAACCCATCTAACGATAGCATCCTCAATGTGTCTTGGTCTCGTCCTTAGCCTACTCCAGCTCCTACAGCAAACAGTGACCCGGCGCTATCGACTGCTGCGATTGTCATGATCGTTGTGGGAGTGTACTTAGCGCTTGTCGCCCTCGTCCTCGTAATAAGGCAATGCTTAAAGGTAAGTACCAGATTTTTTTATAACTCGTACCATTTAAAACAAAGGCACAGGCCACGATTTTCTTTTAGCTATGAAGTTACACGGAAATATTGTCGAAATGTTGACCTCAGAGAACTGCTCTTTCAAATTAATTATTATATTTCGGGTATGTGGATGGAACACTGGATTTTTTATCTACATCCCTCCTCACCCTTGCCCATGGAAGGCAAAATTTGTGACAGGGTTTGTTCGAATATTATCTCTAGGAAGGTGACAACATTTTGAACCCCTTTGATGCAGTTTTCAGAGGTGCCGACAATCAACAATGGGGTGTTGGAATTTGGCCTTCCACAGTGGGGGTTTAGACTGTGTGTAGAATAATTTTATTTGTGTTTTGCAAGAAATCAGGGATCGTGCTGGTTTTGAGTTACTTTACTCTGTCATTTTTCTGGAACTTTTGTACCACTTTCTCAATTAATCAGATGGAAAAACTCAACCAGTAGCAATTAGCTCAGTTGCTTTTAATGGCGGTTCAGGTAGCTTGCTTGTTTTTACCTCAAGTTTTCATCAGCTCCTTGTGATATTTTCCTTCTGATTCTATGCTACTGAGTCGAAAAGTCCTATGAGCCTCTTGGCCTAAAAGTTGCTCAAGTTTATCTTGGTTTCCATTTATGGCGTGAAAAGACTGGGAATCTTACAAGTCTTCCCCCTCCTGGAAAGGATGCTTCCCTGTTACAGCTGACCCCTCCCCCTCCCTCCCTCCCTTAGGAATTTGTCAGGTTTCTTTGCTGCCTATTTATACTCTTGGCTAGAGAGAAATATTGATTGTAACCCAGCCGATGATACCAGGATCTCTCAATTGGGAGCCTAGTATATTAACCACCATGTCACTATATCTCTCACTATGAAGATTGTACATAATTCATATTACCTGTAATTTACATATATTCGTTATTTTTCAATGAACAGTCTCAAGGAATAAGTATCTGCCCAACATGGATATCAGAGCTGTGCTGTGGATGTTGTGCAAATGACAACCATGCAGAGAGATGCTGCCTTTGTGCCTGCTTTGTGGGAATGGCAGAAATGTGTGATTGTTCTACCCCAAGTAAAAAGTCTTGTTTAGACAGTGTGTGTCCTTCAAAACAGGTCAGTAGAGTCATTCCTCACCATCTAAATTTCTGTATAGTTGACACAATTAAAATTAAATCTATTACCATCAATGCTAGCTCTAATTACTCACTGTGAAATTCAAAACAGAGTACTTCCTCCCAAAGCTCAGGAAAATATCATGATATTTAGGTATAAATTTAGACATCAGGAAGTTGTGGGTAAAGATTTTCAGCGACTGATCCATTTTTTACTTTGAGTGATTTTTTTTGTTTTCCTTTTAGTGGTGTGATAACACATTCTGTTGCTGTATGAATGCTGAGCCTGGTGGTGAACTGTGTCAGGACTGCCAAGGACCACAGTGTGCTGTATGTTATTACATTCATAATCACACAATTATTTTGTTGCAAACAGCAAGTACTGTGCTAACAAGTTTATTTGCATTTTTTTGTCTTGCAGTGTGGTGATTGCAATTGTGCTTGTAACTGTGCTCTACCAGAGTGCAATTCTATCAATTGCATTTGCTTTTCAATAGATCTGGGGGGTGAGAGTCAGCAACAGCAACAGATGATGCAACAGCAACAACAGATACAACAACAACAACAACAACTACAACAGCTTCAAATGCAGCAACAGCAATTTCAACCACAATCATATCCAAACTATCCAAGATAACAAGAAAATCTTTCTCAGTTTATGCATTCTTGCAGTTGGCTTGGCTGGCTATAGGTTTAACTCTAAAAAGATGTTTTAACTCTGTGTGTAATATTAGGCTTGATTTTCACTGTGTCAGAGACTGTTCTTTGAATCTAAGGAAAGAAGCATGGGATCATTTTCCACACAGCAGCTTGTTATTAACCTTTGTGTTGTAGAGCCTCTTTTTTAAAACATAGTTCCTTCTTCTTGAGGAAACTCAACTATTATAGAGGTGTTTAACTCAAGTCCTGAGTTACACCAGCATTAGAGATGTACTGCATTCTTTTCACCATAAGTGTGATGCCAGGCTACTCTTCTCTCTCCTCTTTAAAACTATTTCCCTCCCTTTAGATACTCATAGGGGACACCAGAATACAAAATGTAGGATAACTCCACATTCAATTCATCTATACCAAATCCATTTGCGAAAGAACACTTTGTGCAAAGTCGTCCAAACTTGCTTACCTTACTTCTTTAATTTATTAAATCATTGTAATTAATAATTAAAGTAAGTTTAGCTCTCAAAGCAGGAGCCCAGAAAGCTTGCAGGTCCAAGAAGTCGACATGAAAGATTGACACTGATTCTCACTTATCTAAGGATCTGAAATGCTGCCTAAATGAAGTTTTAATTTTTTTTTAGGTATTGACAGCATTTTTTTTTTCATTTTCCCAAATAAGTGTGGCTGTGGTAATTTCTTAGATGTAAATTTTATATGTAAATATGTAAATTTTATAATGTATTTTCATTATGAAATATATTTAACTGGCACATAATTTAGATCTTCTAGTTCTAAAACATGCCAAGCTAATAAAGCATTGCCACAAAGAAAAAATGTACTTTTAACTATTTTTGCTTCTCAGAACTAGAGCATTTTTTCCCTTTATAACCACTCTTCGCTATACTCATGAGATGAAATCTATCTGCCAAAGTGACATCATACACCTCTCAAATAGAGCAAAAGGAACAATTAAGTGGCATAACATCTTTCAACTGCACAAAATAACAAAATGTCCAAGGTAAAAGTCACTAGGTAAATAATTTCAAAACAAGAGAAGGCAGGTCCCCACCCTGTCCCCCATGTTTCTGCTACTTTTGCCTTTGAGAGTGCTGTTGATCAGCAACCTGCATAGGAAACCCATTACTAAACTTGACCATTGGCAATCAAGACAGAATCTCTCCTTAAGATATTAATGTGAAATAAAACATACAAGTAATGGGAATAAAGACAAAGATCAATGTGCATGGCGGTGAAGAAATGAATGTGAGATCCTCGCACCTACGAACACTACTGAACTAGTAGCTGAAGTAAGACTTGAAAAAAATTAAGGCCTGTACAGGATTTGAACCCATGACCTCTACGATACCGGTGCAGCGCTCTACCAACTGAGCTAACAAACCAACTAGGAGCTGGTCCATATGTTGGGTCCACATAAATGATTTTAGATATATCAAATTCATATATGTGCACTGCAGTGAAGTAACAAATATACGAGATCCTCACAGCTAAGAATACTACTGAACTAGTAGTTGAAATAAGACCTGAAAAAAATTCAGGTCCATACTGGATTTGAACCCATGACCACTGCGATACTGGTGCACTGCTCTACCAACTGACCTAACATGCCAACTCGGAGCTGGTCAATATGTTGGGTCCAAATACATCATCCAAGTGATGAATAATGATTTTAGATATATGAAATTCATATATGTGCACTGCGGTGAAGAAACAAACATACAAGATCCTTGCAGCTAAGAACACTATTGAACTAGTAGTTGAAATAAGACCTGAAAAACATGGACTGGACTGATTTGTTTGGATGTTCTTGTGCATTTCATCACATGACAAATTCTAAGCAAGTGTAGCAAGTAAAATCCCAGCATTTCCTACTACTGGTCATATATCACACACACAAACAAAAATATTTAATACACAGTATGTGAATATATTTGGCTCCACCAAAATACTTGCCACAATAGTATACGTCATGAAACTGACAAGCTAAGTTAAATAGTTCAACAATTATTTATCATTGCTCAAATGTTCTGATGAGATACGAACCTATGCTTAAGGGGTAGTGCTTATTTTGAAAATTCAGCATTAGTTAAAAGCACCACCTCTTGCTTTAGTTCATAAAATGATATATCTATAGGAATACAGCTTTGTGCTGCATGCAAGGGTACAGACTTCTTTACTATAATAAAACTAAATGTTAAGCTGCCCATTATGAAACAACATGGACAAGCAAGCAAATTAGCATGTTCCTTCCTTCACTGCAATAACAGTCTAAGTAACATCTCCCAGAAGTTAAACAAAGACAAGCTCATCAAGGCAAAGATAACCATGGTGATGCCAATGATCTACATTACGATGATAATAATAACAAAAGCGATTGTAATGATAACAAAGTAAATGATGAATTAGAAGAGATATCAAAATCACTACTTAGTGGTATTGCCTCTGTGAGTGATTGTCATCACTAGTGAGCACAGGTTGGAACTACTACTTTGCAAAAACCTTTGCTAATAACAACTGAAATAAAAATTGTAATACATTACTAACAACATCATCTAAATTTTTGTTGCTGAGAGCAAACATGCCACAAGCAACATGAAGAAAAACTTCTCTTACATAACCGTCTATTCCTTATGGTGTATTAAGACGTTATAAAACACCGATAAACTTGTTTTATTTGGTGTCAAATATACCTTCCCTTCATAGATTCATTTCATCAAAGTCTTAGACTTTAAAGAGGCTAGATCAGGTTGTTAAATGAAGAGATTACAAGCCTCCAGAAACTGGCATGCTAGGGTACACTGCACATGGAATCTACACTCCCAATGAACAAATTCAAAAACCATGCAATTGCTTGCAAAACTGCTTTTGGACGGTTATTACACTGTAGCTACACCAAATGCTTATAAATGCATACAAAATTGAATTTTTTTAGCAATGCTGGATATGTGGGGGGCTTATTGAAGGAGGAATGTGGCTAACAAAACTACCAAACATCATGCACAAAATTTCGCTCTCTTTAACTTAGAAGAATGAAACTAGATTCAAACCCTTGAGGCTGCCAGCATTTTCATTATAATAATAATAAACAGTTAATCAACTGATTTATTGCAAGAAAGAGTATGACAAGTGTTAAAATCCAGACTATATGTAATTATGAACTATTCTATTCTAAAAGTAAGCAATAGGTAAGTACAAAACATTTTATTTTGCACCAGGAATCTTCTTCAGTACCTGCAAAGATTAAAACAAAAGTAATATTAAAACAAGTAATACTACAAGTGGCTAATCCTAAGCAGTATTGGAACATTGCAAACCTAAATAACTGTTAAGAAACCAAATATAGCAGTGAACACTTTAAACATCAATGCACAAACACCCTTTTTTGGTCCCCTCTGACACAGACCTGGCCTTGGTTGTTCAAAGACTGGATAGCGCTATCCCTGGGGT